GTGAGTGCACACACTTGTGTGTGTTTGTGTGCGCGCGCATTTGTTTGACTTGATTTCTTTTGGGGTTTTGGCTGTTTAGCTCCTAATTTTTTTCCAGGTTTTCTGATTTTCCTTAGTCCTTCTGGCTGTGCATTTTCTCATTAGCCTTGAGCTGGTTTGGAAAACAAATAACCAAAACAGATACTGAGCCCATTTTTCAGTCCCTGTCTTCCTCCTCCTTTTCCTCCTCCTTCTCCCATTTCATTCCCCTCTTATTCTCTGGGTTCATAAAACCCTGGAACTATAGATATATATATATAAAGATAAGCCTCTTTTTTTAAACCATAAAGTAAAACGTTTACAATCGAAAAATAATCTTGTGAAAATAGGTTTTGTTCGGAGGGGGGTTGTGTGTGTGCAATGCTGCTGTTTTCTGGATACTTTAATGGAGCATGTCCCATGTACCCTCTGAGGTTCTGCACTGCCCACCTCTGTGGCCCTTCCTCACCTCTCTGCTGCTCTGCTGTTTTATCTTCACTTGGACCTTAAACACAACTCACGGACACTATGCAGAGAGTCTTCAAGAGGCAATAAACAGAACAGTATTAACCTGCTTTATGGAGGTTTGATCATGCTTCTTTGTACAGTTTTGTTTTTTTATTTTAAAAGGAATGTAATAAAATGGCTTTTTTTTTTTGTAGAATTAAATATTATTATTAAAATCAAGTGAAAGGTTGACTGTTGATGTTAAGCAGGAGAGTGGACCAGCTGGTCCAGCAAAAAAAGGATCTTCAGCAGTAAAGGTATTTTCAAATCCTTCCCGAACCTTCAAGTGCACAGGTTAATACATCAAGAATATAAAGGTCTTCAACTTCCATGAAGAGATGCAGAACCACAGAACATGAAAGAAACCTAATTCTCTAGTCACTGAGCTCTAGTCACTGAGCAGTAAACTGTCTCTTCCAGAAACTCTTCTTCATTTGCTTGTTTGTCTAAGGGGAATTTTGGGTGGGGGTGTTTTTTTTTTTTTTTTTTGTCTCTTTACTGGTAGGTACCTGCCCTCCTCTAGGAGCTGATAGGGTCAATCCTTCCCTTTCTAGCTGTGTCATACACTGAGCACATGTGGAATAACATCAGGGAGTAAACATGTGCTAGTTGGTATAATGCAACCTCTGTGTTTCTATCATAGGAAACATCTTTTAGAGAAAACGGTAACTGAAGGTTCTGGATTGCATTTTTTGAGTCTCCTTAATATTTTGTGGCTCACAAGAACCTTACATTTCTATCACCTTTTTAGAATGTCCAGGTTACACCTCAGAGTTGTAAAATTTATGAAGTAAACATAAGATTTTTTGAAAGACCTCTGGTTAGTGCTTTCATTGCTAGTTTGGAGATAAGTCTATGCATAGCGGTCACAGAGGGAGACAGGCTTTGAAACATCATATACATTTGTTTGGACACTGGGTGTTGATGCTGCACTTATACCTTTCTTGAGGCTTCATTGATACAAATGGGCACACTTGTCTCATGTATTTACTCCCTACTTATCCATTGCTTCTGAAATAGCGAAATGCATAGAACTGCCAGGGGATGCAAGAGGGGTGTCTTGTTTTTACATAAAGGAAAAAAACACCAACAAATCTAGCCCATGGTAACCAGGCAGTATTTCCCATTGAAGGTGAACTTTACAGATGTCAGCTTTATACAATTTATCTTCTTCAGTTCCCAGTGCTGAAAATCACATGCTAAACTTTCACAGAGTTGCACTAACACTACCTCCATATGTGGATTTGGAAGCAGGTGCTGAAAAAATGATCAACACACTGGTGGTTACAATAGTGCCAATACAGCTGATGGTGATACAACTATTTCTTTGTATTTTAATCTTTGAAAGAACCAGCTAGAAACTCTTGTTTGCAAGAATAAGTTTCTTAATCTACATGTGATGAAATTTTGTTCTTTATAACACTGGAGATTTCCTTCTGTTCAATTTACTGTATTTATAATTAATGTCTTGCTTTATAATTAATGTCAATGTATGGATTGTATCTTAAGTCTTGTATTCAAAGCTTTAATGTGTTTTATCAAATCTTTTCTTGTAATGTTACAACACCTCATCTGTAAAACAATGTCAATGCTTGATGCTTATATTGATTGTTAATATTTTCATTCTGAGCTGATGATCACTCTTGAAGCAATTTCTCCACTTCGTGTGCTGTCTGTGACGCGTGATACTTACTCAGGAAATAATCTCTGGAACATCTGTGTATGTCAGGCGCAAAGGAGATACTTCTTCAGATGCTGTACTGGACTACAAAATCCAACAAATGAAACCAGTGACTTTTGCTAAATATTTTCTCCCCTTATTGCAAAAATCTGTCAGTTAAATACATAAGGGACCACAAGGGCTTAGAGAGACTTTGAAAGCAGATCACATGTACAGTATCTTTCTCATGGCTCACTCTTTTTGAGAAGGTTTATGGGCTTTATGGCTGGTGTGAGACACACGACCCACTCCTGTTC